GAAAGCTTGACATTGTCCTCTTTGCCCCAATTGAAGAGCATCTACAGCGGTTCTAGTACTGTTTTTCTACCCAAGTTAGAAAGCTTGACATTGTCCTCTTTGCCCCAATTGAAGAGCATCTATAGCGGTTCTAGTACTGTTTTGATTTGTGATTCCATCAAGAAGATTGAAATTCTATTATGCGAAAATATAGAGAGTGTTTTTTGGTCAGGGTTCAACCCACTTCTAAATCTTGAATATCTACACCTTGACTATTTAAAGAATTTGAAATGCGTGTTTGATGAAGAAGGTCTTGGTTTCTCACCACTTGTACCTCCCACAAGCCTTTTCTCTCTTAAAGAAATTAGGGTTGTTGGGTGTGGTCAATTAAAGAAGGTATTCTCATCTGGATGGTTGCTCCGCTACTTCCAATCTGTAGAGACTATTGAGGTTTCAAATTGTAAGGAAATGGAGGAGTTGATATCGTCATCGGCACATGAAGAAGAAAATGTCACTCTACCGAAGTTAGAAAGGTTGGAATTGACCTATTTACCCCAATTGAAGAGCATCTACAATAGTTCTTTGATTTGTGATTCCATCAAGAAGATTAAAATTTGGAATTGCAAAAAAATAGAGAGTGTTTTTTGGTTAGGGTTCAACCCACTTCCAAAGCTTGAATATGACCTTTATGATTTAGAGAATTTGAAATGCGTGTTTGATGAAGAAGGTGTTGGTTTATCGCCGCTTGTACCTCCCACAAGCTTTTTCTCTCTTAAAGAAATTAGGGTTAAGTACTGTCATCAATTAAAGAAGGTATTCACATCTGGATGGCTGCTCCGCTACTTCCAATCTCTAGAGACTATTAAGGTTGATATATGTGGGCAAATGGAGGAGCTGATATCGTCATCGGCACATGAAGAAGAAAAAGTCACTCTACCCAAGTTACAAGGCTTGCATTTGACAAGTTTGCCCTTATTGAAGACCATCTATAGCGGTTCTTTGATTTGTGATTCCATCAAGAAGATTGAAATTTTTGGGTGTAAAAATATAGAGAGTGTTTTTTGGTTAGGGTTCAACCCACTTCCAAATCTTGAATATCTAGACCTTCGTCATTTACAGAATTTGAAATCTGTGTTTGATGAAGAAGGTCTTGGTCTATCGCCACTTGTACCTTCCACAAGCTTTTTCTCTCTTAAAGAAATTAGGGTTTTGGGGTGTGCGAGATTAAAGAAGGTATTCTCATCTGGATGGCTGCTCTGCTACTTCCAATCTATAGAGACTATTGAGGTTGTATTGTGTTCACAAATGGAGGAGTTGATATCATCATCGGCACATGAAGAAGAAAAAGTCACTCTACCCCAGTTACTAAGCTTGAAATTAATCGACTTGCCCGCATTGAAGAGCATTTGCAGCAACTCCAGTGTGTTGATTTGTGATTCCATCCGAAGTCTGAGGATTTCAGAGTGTGAGAAGTTGAAGAGGATTCCTTTGAATTTTCCCTCGCTTGATAATGCCCAATCATCTCATCCTCCTTCCCTCAAAGAAATTGTGGTAGACACAAAAGAATGGTGGGAATCATTGGAATGGGACCATCCCAATGCAAAAGACATCCTTTTACCCTTGTGTAAATTTCAGCAGTGATAGGGTGCACCGCAAATGTAAGCCTTTTAATCTTCAATTTTCCATTTTTGATTCAACTCAGTAAGAGTTTTCCATTCTTAATAAATCTCTCTCTCTCATATATTCTTTTCTCCCCCATTGGCAGCAATTGGGATTCGTCTTTGCAACCACAAGAAAGTTGGAGGAAATCACATATGCACTAGTTGCTGTTGCTATTGGGTTTTCAATTTAATATAATCTTTGTTTTTCTTTTGCTGTGTGTGTTGTGTGTTTAATATGTCCAATTCTAAATGGAAAACTAGAAATGCTTGGTTCTTTATTATCTGTGTAATTTTGTCTTTGAAACTGTGTGCGAAAAAAACTTGAAACTGTATTTGCTTTTCTTGTGTAATATGCATTTCAGTTGATTGCATTTGCATATCTCCTCTCAAATTTCAGTCAACAACATTATCATCATCAACAACAACTGAGACTTACTTTCATCAACTATAACCGAGACTTACTTTCATCAACTATATTTGCATGCTCTTTTACTTTATCTACTTAGAATCGCCAAAGAAGGACTAGTACTTAAGTTAGAGTGCACTTCTCTTCTTTTCTTTGACCTTTTTTAATTATTTATTTTGTTTTGTTTTTGGATTGCATGGTCCGAATATCCCATTAGCTAAAGTTAAATTATTGGATAAACACTATTATTTCAAAAGATAATTACATAATGCCCATCCTTGGATGTTAGTGGGTTAACATTCATATGTGGGCAAGCCGATGTTGGTGCTGTGCTAAGAAAGCATGCTGGTGATGAGGAGCTACTGGTTCACTACTTATCACAAAGCATATATTGTTCCAATACATAACATTTGACACCTAGTCCCATGTTGCAAACTTCACTCTTAAGAGCAAAGCAGATTTTCCTATGACACATCAAACCACCAATTGTTATGAGGGAAAAGAGGGGTTCTTATGAGCATGTTTCTTTTTAGTCAAGCATATTGGCAGAGGAACTATATATATTAGTGACATGGTAAGATTTGCTTACTTTGAAATAATCAGTATTCACTATTTGAAGGTGTTGTCATCAGCAAGAGCTCAAATTTTTCAGTGAAGAGCTCCAAAATCAGGTATCAAGTTAACTATCATACTACTTTGAAGGACAAGGCTTAAATGACCATAGAAAGGTATGACATTTATATGTTTGGGCCTCAATTTTGTCATTTGAAACAAACAGTGATTGCTCTACCTCAGTTCAACTGTCTTTATTGGTAATTTATTTATTTCAATAATTTATTTTTCTTGACTGTCTATTAGATTAGATAATTCCACAGCTTATGTAAAGTTGCGTAATATAGTTTCGGTACAAGAGGAGAACACTAATGTCTAGATAATGATGATTTGTTTCTAGAATGCTTGCTTGGTAAAGTTCAAGTGTTGTTGAAAAATTTTGTAGTTCAATCTTCTTTTAACTAACTTTTGTCTGGTACATCTCTAAAGGAAGCCAGAGTTCATCTTCTCTACACTGTGCCAATGGTCAGAATTGTTGTCCAAATTATATATCAATTTTCACTCTTACGAGCAGAGCAAACACGTCAAATGATCAATTGTTATGTGGAAAAAAAGGGTTCTTATGAACATGTTTCTTTTTAATCAAGCATGTTTGTCAAGGCACTATACGTACCAGGGACATGTTAATACCTGTTTGCTTTAAAATAATCACTACTCACTATTTGAACTTGTTGGTATCAGCAAGAGCCCAAGTTTTTCTGTGGAGAGCTCCAAAATCAAATGTCAAGTTACCTATAATGCTACTTTGAAGGAGAAAAAACTGTCGTTGTCCCTTGATGAGCTAAATTTATATATATATTAATAGGGAATTTTTACTTTGATATTATTGATATTTGATGAGTTTTATAGGATTTTGTTTGATTTTACATGGTTTTCATTCTTTGTGTAGGAAAGAATTTAATTGGAAGAAATCCTACTTTTTAGAAGTAAATTGAAGAGATCAGAGACTTGAGGATCAACTTGTGTAGAATCCAGAAGTCAGGAACCAAATCTGCTATTTTACCATTGAAGAAATTGCAAAAGCAGACCAGAAACCCGACACGGGTGTAGTGTCGACACATGATAGGGGTGTCGACACCATGCGTTAAACGTCCAAAATCAGATTCTGTTTCTTATTTTGTGTCAACACGTAATCCGAAGTGTCAGCATCATGCGTTCAGCATCCAGTTTCCTATTTTGTTTCAAATCCTACTTCTATTTTAATTAGGATTTTTAAAACCTTATAAATATCCCTCCAAATTCAGAATTTAAGAGAGAGTTTTGAGAGGCTAGTGGCAGCCATCTTTTGGGCATTATTGGAGATCAAGATTGAGGTTCCATCAACAACAGAAAATCAAGGAGTTCAATTTCTTTAAATTGGGTTTTATTTTTCCTTGGATTTTTATCTATTGTTTGATATTTGAATATTCATAACTTTGATTTTATATTTTATTATTTTTATTATGAACTGATTTATTTTATTAAGGCTATGATGTAGCCTAATCAATTCAATATAGATTTTGTGATTTTATACTTTCAATTAAAGTTATTCGCATGAAGAGTTTATATTATTAAACTTAATGTATTGGAAGCCTGATCATCTTTCAATTGATTTAGTGATTTATGCATGAACTTGAGAAAGAATTGCGTAAATTAGACCAATAATAATATACACCGTGTGCTAGACTATGAGACCGAGAGGTAATTAGCTCACATATGGTAATGAAGGAAAAGAAGAGAGTTAGGAGCTCCCTCTTCTTAAGCTAGAGGTTTTCATAGAATTTAATACTTATTAGTTTGTTTGAAATTATATAGAAATATGATTAATTTAACAAATTAGTGAAGGATTAACTTGACTTGAGAAAGTTAGTTAATTAATTTAGGGAAATCCAACATCACATGCAATAACACCCAACAATTTGGTAATCCAGAATTTATATTGATTGATTATGATGAAGTCAATACCTTAGTACCTCATATCTTGGTTAGGTTTAATTTAATTATTATTTTCCTTTTATTATTTTTTTAGTTAAACTTTCTTCCCATTTGGTTGTCTAAATGAATTTGGATTAATTATTTTGGTACTTAGTTAAATACAATCCTCGTGGGTTCGACACTCTATTCATCATTATATTACTTGAAGCGACTAGTACACTTGTTAGGGTGATTTTAGTGCATCATCCTTCTTAAATGACCATCGGAAGGTATGAAATTTATATCTTTGGGCACAATTTTGTCATTTCAAACAGCAAGTGATTACTCTGCCTTCAAGATGAAAATTCTGCTTAAGTTCCACCATCTTTATTGGTATTTTATTTCAATAATTTATTGGAGTCTTGCTTGTCTATTAGATTAGACAATTCCACAGCTTTCGTGAAGTTGCCTAATAATTTGGCCAGTACATGAGAATCTGACTTCTAAAGATATATATATATATTTTTTTTTTCTTTTTTTTTGGGTACAAGAGGAGAGCATTATATGCCTAGATAATTATGATTTGTTTCTAGAATGCTTGCTTGGTAGAGTTCAAGTATTGTTGAAAAATTTTGTTGGTCCATCTCCTTTCAACTACTTTTTGTCTGGTACATCTCTAAAGCAAGATAGAGTCAACATATGCCAAGTGACAACAGTCAAAATTATTGTCCAAATTACATATCAATGTAGAGAGGGATTCAGTGTTACTCTGCATTGCTTGTCTCTTTATTGGGTTTGTTGCATCAATCCCTCAACTTCTAGGTTTGTAAAACTTCTCTCTCTCTTAGGGATTTCCTTTCTCATATGTTTTCCTTCAAGATCTAATGTAGATTTCTCTAAATTTATCACATTTTCCATTTGATCAAGGAGACTGCATTTTTATATCTGATTATCTGTTTTGATGCCATCAGCTCATTGTTTGTTTGGTTGCTGAGAAAATTAGAGAAAAGTGAGTTTTTGAGAGTTTTTCTTTATATTGGGGAAATTGAAGTTTAGTTTATTGATCATGCTTGCTTTTTCTTTCAATTTTTTACTCAATTGAGTCTGATCAATGAAAATTCAAATTTTCCTTTAATTGAAAAGGATTTTATTTAAATTTGTTGTCTAATGTGTCCCGAATTTGTTCTAGAATTATGAATTTCATTTGGTCAAGTCAAATTAATCCTTTTGTTGAAGAATGTGAGCATGTTCTAATTTCTAATCCTCCTCTTGCATATCTAGGCTTAAAACTTGCTTTTGCTTGTGAAGGATTATTATTAGTGTGATAGTTTTAATTACTTCTGAGCAAAAAAGAAAGGTTGGATTCTAAACCTAATTTTGATTTGATTTCATGTTGAATTGTTGTTATGTGCATCATATTTTTACAGTGATGGTGTAGTTTACCTGTGGTACTGATACAGTATATGGTGGAATTCAAAGGGAAACATTCACAAATCTATCTGATTTATGGACTAAATATATTGATCTATATTTAACAAATTAATCAGGACTGCATCAAGATACTTGTTGGAAACAAAGTTGACCAACATTGTTTGTTACCATGTTTCATTTTGCTCCGGTTAGCAATTTAATCTGAAGTTCATCTGAAACTTTTTAATGGACCTTTTTGATATTATGGAAAATGATTCTTGAGTGTTATTTTATACGTGGAATTTAATGGTACCACTCACATTGGTGATCTTAACAGGAAAGTGAAAGGGTTATGTCTAGAAAGCAATGTATATGTTTATTAGATATCCCTTCCCTTGAGACAAGTTTATTTGTTGTTTGGATGCAAAAGTAGCATGGAAGCTTACTGGATAATTTAGTTGTTTATATATTCTAAAGTAGTCCTGTTTTGATTTCTAAAAACAAGTCGACCATGCATTGGTGATTTCTGTTATGTAAACCAATGGTTTTAGATTTAGAGACTTTTTCCTCATACATTTAACACTCTCTGTAAATTTACTGACATAGGCATGCATGAACATGACTGTATTCCTCTAATATGATATGATTGGAAGTACGCCCCTTTTTATGTTCACTCATTTAAAAAATTTAACAGTGCAACTATGAATCATCCATTACATGTGTGCTGCCTGCTGCTTACGTTGGGGGCTTTTGTTTAATAGTGTAACAGTGAATCATGCATAACTTCTTGTGTGCTACCTTCTATTTACCTTAGGGGATTTAGCAAAAATCATGTTGCGACAATTGCATGTGTATTGAGACAACTACAGAGGGAAATTTTAGAGCTTTCTTTGTCCTTTTTAAGTTTTCCTTAATTTTTAAAGTTTTACCATTCATTTCTAGCCCTTGCTACCCTACCTCAAATTTGATTCCTTGTTTCAGTAGTCTCTATATTTGCTCTTAAAGATGTCTGCTTTGGCAATGAAAAGATTGACTAAATTGTAGTAATTTTAGTACGCTTGCTAGGTACTTGCTAACTGTGCTTAAAGACTATTATGCTGATGCAATATTTTATTTGTGGTATTGATGCAACATGAGATGTAAGAGCTTGAGAACTTTCTTTGTCCTTTTTCTTAATTGTTTTGGTTTTGCCATTCATTTTCAGTCCTTGCTTCCCTGCCTCTTATTTGACACCTAGTTTCAAATTCGATGGTCTCCATGTGTGCCCTTAAAGATGTTTGCTCTGGCCATAGACAGGTTGACTCAATTTTCGAAGGTGACTTCTTAGTTAGTTACATTTGAATACTCTCTTGCTGTTTTTATTATATCAAT